CAAGTAGTGACAGTTCTGTTGAAATCAGACGCTGGAACTCTGCTTCTCTGTTTGCTTTTAGTTAAAATCCGTAAATTTTTAATTTGAGTACTGGAAGAGTCACCATGCTGGAACTCTGCTTTATCTCTTTGCTTTTAGTTAAAATCCGTAAATTTTTAATTTTAGTACTGGAAGAGTCACCACTGAGCAAAACCTCAATTTCTTTTCAGTGCCGAAGGCTGGAATGGAACTTAACAAAGATTACTGTGCACTCCACTTGTATTCAAAGCTCATGTTAAGCATTACCTGGAGTTCTCTAAAACTGAAAAGGCAAGAAAGGAGGTTGTGCTTTTTCACACACTGAACTTAAGGACTTTTCCCCCCTCCCTACCACGATTTTTGTTAAGATGGAAGTTATTAGGCCGACTCACCTCGCATAAGGAATGTATGACAGACTATACCTGAAAAAGAAGAAAAAAGTGTACTTGACAGTGTTCGTCTCTCTTGTAGAACCCAATTATTTCACTTCAGTCTAGCATTAATAAAAGCAAGCTGTTGTGACAAAACTTTGAACAAGATTAGCTACTCAGTTTAATGCTTACCTCAGAAAAGACAACATGGCTGGACAAACACTAAATGCACCCCCAGGGATTTCCTGGTTTGCTTCTTCCCTGTTTATTTTTTTAATATATAGTTTATATGTACCCTGATTTAGGTTTTTTTCATATATACCTTTTATATGCTCTGTTGCATATTAACTTAAAATGAACTTAGTTGCTTCCACTCCAAAACCAAAAAATTAATTAGAACTCCAACCAGGGAGCTAATCAGAAGCAGGGCATACAAATACGGTTACTTTCACAACAGAGAGAAAGCCCGAGAAGTTTTTGTGTCTATATATGTATTTCCTTCCTAATGCTTTAAATGAATTCATTCATTGCAGAACACACTTAAAATAGTACTTTTACAAGACGACTGCACACAGATTTCGCTGAAGTTACACAACTCAGCTTGGAAGGCTAGGCTGAGGCTAGCACCTGGAGAGAGAAATAATTATCTCTAGAGGTTGGTAACCATGCGGGTGTAAGGGCAGGGAGAAGAAACGACAGTGAATTTTACAGATCTTACCAGGTCATTGCCAAGAACTGCAATATGCAGAATAACATCGCCAAGCCTTTCTTGTTCCACTAGGTAAAAAACAAAGCAAATATCGCAAGTCAGTTCCTTTTGCACCGGCCTGTAAACAACTGGAACAGTCCGTTCAGTCAAAAATCTGGTTAATAATGCCTTTGTCTTACCTTACCTTGCTGCTCCTTGCCACCCTAACAACTTCCTACTCGTTTTATCTGTCTCTCCATTAGCATCGGGCTACGATGCAAACACAAATATCACACAGGCACGCTCACCTTTCCGCTACGACTGACAGTTAAAGCCACAAACCAATTAATGCGTTAAAGCCACAACTCAATTAATAAACTAACCAAGCTTTTTGAAGAACAAAGTATTCCCACTTACCCAGAACACAGCGCACAGAGTCAACAGCAGCCAAAGCTGGGGGGAGATGAGAAACAAAAAAACAGAAATTAAAATTAAAATGAGGATTCAAACACACCACGAAGCAAGCGCAGCCACTGTTTCCCCGTTTTCAGCGGGTCAGCAGCCCTTTCAGAGCCGACTGATGAAAAGAGCAGAGCCAGGGGCTGGCACACGGCGGCCAGGAGGGCTGGGATGAGACTCGGAAGAAAGAAGAGGCAGAAGTGACTTCAGGAGGAGGATGTCCAGGTGTGTGCAGCCGTGTGGGTTAGGTCCATGAAGAGGCAGGTTTAGATGACAAAGCTTGTCTGAAAGCAACCAAGCAGACCAGGAACTGCTCTTCTGTTATTTAGGATCTAGCACTCACGACATCAGATCTGACCACCCGGGTGTGCACATCGCTGTGACCAACCCGGTCACAGTTGGGGTATCTGCAAACACAGGCTTGGCTGCTTCTGCCACTTTTTTCATCTTCTGAAGAGCTCGCCAGGGAGCAGCTGCCTCACACACAGGGAAAAAGCTCCCAGGAAATTTTATTCAAGCTACTGATTTACCTTTGGCAGGACACTACAACGACGTGGTTTACTCTGCCAAATGGATCGCACCGTCTGCGCAAGCTTCACCATCGCTGCGAACTTTTCCACTAAACCTCATCTTGCTCCCTCCACTTGGGGCTCCAGCCCTCCTTGATGGGGCTCTGAGCAACCTGACCTGGCTGAAGATGTCCCTGCTCACTGCAGGGGGGCTGGACTAGATGATAGTTAAAGGTCGCTTCCAACCCAACACGTTCTGTGATTCTGTGATTTGTAGAAAACAGAACGAAACTCTAAATAAAAGAAGTTGGTGTTTTACTGAAAGCGATACAAAGAGCAGGCTCTCTCGAAATTCCCCAAACACAGTTGTGACTCCTGAGCTGCCTACAGTTCTAGCTTCGTGCTAGGAGCAGGAGGAAAACCATCAAATACATCAAGAAGCATACATCAGAAGTTCTCCAGCTCTCTGTACTACTGAAGTTTTACATCCCAATGTTCATGGCTCTCCTCCAACGTTCCCACCAGATGGACACTGCCTGTTCCTAACTTTGCTGTGCACAGGTAGGTGGGCCCAGGATGTTCTTTCTATTTTCTGTTCTCTTTCCATTTCCCTGACGTGTCTCGTTCCTTACAGCCGTCAAAGCAAGTTGTTTTCGTTGTCACCAGGTCTGTCACAGTGGGTGACAGGATCATCAGAGTACATAATTTTTGTGCTGGCTGTTCTAGTGTCTCGACCAGGCCCTCAGCGTGACCAGCAAGAGCCCACAGCTGTAGAGTGTCGGAGAATTCATGGTCAGCTAACACAGGCCCCAGAGAACCGGAGATATTCTTGGACACTTTTATTGCAGACCTAAGAAATGTAACTTCCTGGGGCTTGTAACTTGCTTTATTTTGGAAGAGACGGCAAAAAGTCACCTCTTCAACCAAGCCTGGAGTCCAAGCAAGGTCAAGTCACTTCTCCTAAAGATGTGGACAAACGTGAGCTTCTCAGATGATAAGTTGTTGTGTTTTTTTCAGGTGGGTGTGTGAGAGAATGCATGAACAACCCATATGTCAGAAAGAATTAAGGAAGAGTTTCTTCTCCACATCAGCTGCAATCAACTAGAAAAGAAAGGACAGGGAAAACGCAACAGCCAACTACATTTTACGCAAAAAAGTTGAAACAAATCAGGAGGAATGAGAGAAAATAAGTCCAAAACAGAGAAGCAGCAAAGGCAGAAACTTGTTTTTAACCACTTAATGTAGAATTTTAGGAAGGGAATTCTGAAATTGGGGATGGGGCTGGTTTTTCCATCCCCACAGAAGAAGAAAGGATGGTCAAGAAAGTAAAGTCGACAAGGACCAAGTAGCTGAAAAGTCTCTCTCAATCCTTGATCTTGAAGAAATTTTAGAAAAAGAAATTTAAAATAACCAACCTAATATCAGCATTTAGTATGAATATTTAGTGAAGAACATTTTACTCTAAATGACTCATTTTAAAAGAAAGAAACTCTAAGGAGCAAGAACACAGGCTCACAGAAAGGGGTTAGATAACCTTTTTGACATACGGAGCTAACCGGCTCGACTCTGTTACCCACAATACACCCGAAGGAGAGGTGGACTGACAGAGAATCTCTTTTTAGCAAAGCCTCAAATGTAGCTTTGAGGCTGAAGGGAAACTTTTCAGCAAAAGAACACAAAGGTAGGGTATTTACCAGCATCACCACTGTAGCTACTGCTCTTTTGGGCTCAAACATGGTTTTCAGTTGCTTCACCGGCCCCATCAGGAAACACGTGCTAATAGGAGGGGAAAAACCAAAACAAATGGTAAAACACTTTCAAATAAATCTTTGTAAAGGCTTTAAAAGAGGCATTTCTGTGTTTAGCAACATGTGAAATACTCCATGAGCTTCTGTAGAAATTTCTGTTCAGCAATGAACTTCTCAGGCAGGCAGCGTGCAGGAAGCTACCACCGAGGTTACAGGGAAGCTCCAACTCTTTGCCCAAACTCAGCAAAGCAAAAAAAAAAAAAAAAAAGGAAAGAAAAAAGACCAGTAGTTTGCATTGAAACCTCAAGAGGGAGAACGAAAACCATCAGCAATGCCATGGGCTGTACCTGCTCATGCAAAGAAATTTGATGTGAACGAAGAATTCGCAACCATAGGAGTAATTATCTGGCTTCAAACATTCTGACACCAGTCCCTCCCCTCCCTGGCACCGAAGCCGTTGTGCCACCAGCTCCCCTTCCAGCAACTTTCTGTATAAACCCCCTTCTCTACACTTTTTTTCCCTCTCCTTTAAGATGTTCTAGATTCACTGAAATACCAACTAACTTTTTCTTGGTATTTTAAGTCTTGGCTGCTGGGATAAAAAATTAAATTAAGATACAAAAAGAGACTTGAAAAACTAGAAAAGTTTAGGTCCCCTGGTCACTCTGAGACTTTGTATTGTCATTCCCTGCGGTTCAGAGAACACGGATTCTTTGCTACGAGCATTTCAGTTTAAAACCAACGGTTTTTATACCTAACATAGGCAGCATTAGAGGAAAAGCAAATGGAAAAGTAAATTCAGAGGAGGGTACTTTTCTAACCACAGTCATTAGGAAACCATACCTGGCTAACGCAGCAATGTTGCCCAGGGTGTAAAACACTGCAAAAAGCTTGATCCCCTTTGGGAGCCAGAGCAACGCTGTTCCCTGGAAAAGACAGGTTATTTGTACGGTTTTAATTAGTTAATTCAATTTATTTAGATTTTATGGTCTACAGAGGTATCTCCAGACTATGAAGAGTGTCCTGTACTCAGAGTTGTCGTAAATATTCAGCAAACTTCTATTGCCACCTACTGGCAAAATAATGTATCAATAACATCTACTACACAGTATTTTTACTTGATTCATTCTGACTCAAGTTTTGACTCTTATCTATCGAGCTCAAGACAACCCAAGGTAACTTTAGGAAACCAAAGTCCTAAAGGTTATTTGCGAAAAAAAATTGAGGAGAGAGGAGTCAACCAACTAATGCTTAAGCAACCCAAGAAGAAAAGGGATATTCCAACCCAGTGTTGAGCTCCCTCCCTCGGACTTGCCCGTTCTCCAACACAAGCATCAGGCTGGAGTTTGTGTCACTGTATCTGGTATAAATATCTGTACAACGAATACTTCCCCCTCCTTTTCCCCTTTTATTGGAGAGAACAAAAAAAGATGGGTACAGGATGAACAACAGCAAAACCTCTTTCCTAGCACACTACTTCCCTGTGTAAAATAACAAACCAGCACTTTGTCAGTGTTCAAGCATCTTAGTAACAAATTTTATTATGATACAGTAAAAATTCGCTCTGCTGCGAACAGAAGAAAGATGGTCAAAACCCTAATTTACAGAACAACAGCCCCTACACGCTAATTATATATTTAACAGCCAATTGCATCTATGGATAGAGGATTTGGGATACAGGACAAAGCAAACACAGAATCACATATAAAGTATGAAAATGAATGAGGTTGTACTGTAGAACACTAATCAAGTACAGAGAATAAAACCTACTCTACTTACAAGAATAGAGCACACAATGCCCACAATAAAACATATGGCGAACCACTTGACTCGAGTTCCAAAGCTGAGTGTGGAGGCATCCAGGACCTTAACAGGAAGGGGGGGAAAAAAAAAAAGAAAAAAAAGAGATGTTACAAATCCAGTTTTGAACAACCTGAAGAACTTTTCTTTACTACCAAAGTCCTTAATTTCAAACAAAATCTTTTTTTTTTGCCATTTATTTTACCTTGCTTAACAGTTGCTCAAATATTAACTAATTCAGCTTAAGAAATTATATCAGAATCCGGCAACACGCTTCCAAACCAGCTCAAAACGACTGTGCAAACCTGCAAAGGCGTGCCCTGGCACCCCAGCAATTCCGCTCCAATTCCTGACACATTTCCCTTCACCGCACAATCTCAGCTGAAAACTCTCACACCCGTACGGCTGCCCAAGGACCGACGAACCCTCGAGCAGTTTGCTGACAGACGTCTGTGTGTGTGCAGCACGAGACGTTCTAGGGGTGTCACCCCCTGCCCCTCCTGAGGAGAGAGACCTTGCGGGGCTGGAGCGTGTCCCGAGAAGGGCAGCGGAGCTGGGGCAGGGTCTGGAGCCCAAGTGTGCTGAGGAGCGGCTGAGGGCCCTGGGTAGCAGTAAGTGAAGGAAAGGAATTTGGGTCTGGCTTGGAATGGTTTCACATCCGTACCAGTGAAGAATCTCTACTGTACACAGTTCAACAGAAAGGGACGACATGCGAGCACGCGCTTGTGTGCTGTGATGAACCAGCACCTGAACGTATGTCCCCAGGAATGGCTTGGACTACCTCCTACTCGTAAAAAAAACCCACCATCAATCTTATTTAATCAAATTAAAATACTTTGAACATTTACTAAGAAGGGGGATCAGAATATTAAAAATCATAGAACCCTAGACTAGCCTAGGCTGGAAGGGACCTTAGAGATCATTTCATCCAACCTCCCTGTGATGGGCAGGAACGCCTCTTAACTAGATAAGGCTACTACAGGC